AGAGGAAAAGCAGCATGATCTATAGTTGGTCATCTAGTCTTTTGCTCATTCTCACCAAACTCAATTGAAATTATAATGTGCTTTGCCCAGGATGCACAGGTATAAAAATTTAGGCTTTGAAACCAATTTTCTCCAACTCAAGGAAAAAGCTTTTGGACAAGTAGACCATATAAACAAAATGAACCATTAAAACAAATAGAAAATTGGAAAAACAAAAGGGTTAGGGAGGGGGTTGGGGATTTAGCACAGTGGTAGAGCACTTGCCTAGCAAGCACAAGGCCCTCGGCTCTGTCCTCAGCTCTGAAAAAAAAAAAAAAAATAACAAAATAAAAAAAAAAAAAAACGGTTAGGGAATATTTGGAAAGGGTAGTATTGTTTTAATTAGGAGGTCAAGAAATATGGCCTAGGAAGTTGACATTTGCCCAAACACTTGAAGTAGGTGAGGTGATAGGTCGTTTATCTGGAGGAAATCAGTGCAGGCTGGGGGAACCCACAGATGTCCTGGGCTACTTGGGCCTTCTCATCTGGCTGCCCCAGATCTTGGGTGAGGCAGGATATCAGGAACATACAGGAGTGGTGAAAGCTATAAACAGTCACAGAAGACTGAATGGTCAGGACCATGATGCTCCATGTGGCCCATATGAGGACCATAGAAGCACAGGAGCATCCTGAGTGATTAGGCTAGAGTGGGAAGTTCTAGGTCTCACAGTCTCACCAGCTCACAGGCCATCCCTGGATATGAGCCTCGCACCTAACGCACATAAATACCAGATGGTTTTGCATTGGACCCTTTCCTTAAGCCTTCAGTTGTGGCTGCATCTGTGTGGTCATGTAGGACTGCAATCCCTCATCAGAAGTGTATGGGTCGAGTAAGCTTTCAAATTCAGGAGTTCGAATTAGAAGGAGGCCAGCAAGCCCTCAGGGAAAGCGCGGGCCCTCGATCCCAAGGACTATTGACAGTCAATGGCGCACAGCAATCACCTCCAGGGGTGGGCACTGTGGCAGTATGGCAGCGGCTTAAAGAGACAGCGCATGCACACGCGCAGGGGGTGTTTGCAGAAGCGGAGGCACTGGGAAACTTGCAGCTAGGGCGACCAGAGGTATGCGCAGGCGCACAGGGTGTTAGGAGGAGGAGGGAGCGCCTGGAAGAAGTCACCTGGATCCGAGGCTGCAAGGGTGACTCAGGTTTATCCTCCATCTCGCCGTTTCCGTGGTGCTGAAGCTGAATAAACCATCCAAGACCTCTCTTAGCCGAGCCTAGAGCACATCGTTGCTGAGCAGGAGGGAGCTCTGGTCTGAGGTCATCCCAGCCAGCCTTCTTCCCTCCCCTCCTCCCACCTTGCTGTCTCTAGGTGTCTGCGGACCTCCGCGCAGCCCTGCAGCCCTGTGCGTCTCCCACCGGCCCCCAAGACTTAGGCCGACCTTCGCCCTAGCCAAGCCCCTTGACCTACCAGCCCCACCGCCGTCTGGGTGTCGCCATGCTTTCTCCAGAGGAGGGGCAGAATGGGAGTGACCAAAGGGCAGACCTGCGCCTCAGAGCCCTCTCTTCTATTCACCGCCCGCCGAGCTGGAGCCTTGGTGGAAGGCGCAGAGGAGAACCAGCCTCGGATAACTGCCCGGGGAATCCAGGGCACGGGAAGCCATCCGGCTGGGGCACTCTTGGAAGTGTAGGTCCTACAGTCCACTGGGGGGAGATAATCTTTTTAGGCTTCTGGGCTTCTCAGTCCCTGCATGGAACTCAAGAGTTAGACAAAACCAACTGAAACAGACTTGTAAAAGCATGTACCACTATGTCAGGGTCTGTTTGAATTTTGTTGCTCTGAATTTTAAATAATTTCTATAGATAATGAGGCCTCTTTTTCTTTGGGGGAGTGATGATGGGATGAAACTCAGAGCTTTAAATGCTAGGTAACTGCTTTATAACTGACCCATACCCTTAAAAACCAAGCAAACGGGGGCCTGGAGAGATGACTCAGGGGTTAAGAACACTCCACGTTCTTGCGGAAGATCCAGGTTTGAATCCCAGCAGCTAACAACTGTCGGTAACTCCAGTCCAGGGGATCCGCCACCCTCTTCTGACCTCTGTGGGCATTGCACGCATGGGTGTACTTCATACATGCAGGCAATACATACATACACATAAAATAAAAATAATAAAATATTTTTTTAAAAACCCCACCATACGGGGCTGGAGAGAGGCTCAACGGTTAAGAACACTGTTCTTGCAGAAGACCTGGGTTCTAATCCTAGCACCCACATGGCAGCTAACCACTATCCAGTAACTCCAGTTCCAGGGGATCCGACAGCCTCTTCTGTCCTCCGCAGGTATTGTGCGACACGGGTGCACTTACCTACATGCAGGCATAACACTCATACACATAAAAAATAAAAATAATAAATTAAATTTTTTTAAAAGCCCACCATACATTTGAAAGGAAAAGCACAATTGAGTGGGTATTTCATTACATATTTTGTCTGAATCTGTTGAACTTGATTCTGTTTATGAGCTCAACCTACATAGTAGATTTTTTTTTCATTACTGGAGTAGGATGGAACTCAGGGCCTTAAGCTTGCTAGGTTAGCACTCTACCACTGAGTTACATTCCCAGACAGCCCTACCAGTAGGACTAATTGTAAACTGTCCTTGAATTCTTCGGGTATATACAAATTGTTCATAATTGTTGATATTCATTCTTGGTTCAACCGCTTATAGTTTATTTAGACAGATTTACTTTTCTCAAACTAGCCATTGTTTTCCCCTGCTCCAAAAAAAAAAAAAAAAAAAAAAGCAAAAATAACAACAACAACAAAACACTGAACTAGGAAATGATGAGCTAATAGCTAATAAGTGGTGTTAGGACAATTGAGTGAAGACACACTGCCTCTGTATCTTACCCCATATACAAAACTGACTCCAGGCAAGCACAATGTGAAAGGCAAACCTTAAACATACTTGGGGATTGCACTCAGGGGATCAGGCTTGGTGGCAGGCACCTTTATCCTCCAAGCCCCCAAGTATGTTTCTTATGAGGTCTTGACTATATTAAAATTAAAACCTGGGGATTGGGAACATGCTCAGTGGATAAAGTGCTTGAAAGGAAAACCAGAGTTCCAATCTCCAGCAACCACATTAAAAAAAAAAAAAAAAAAAAGCCCTGGGCAGATTTGTAATCCCAGTACTCAGGAGGTAGAGACAGGATCCCTGGGCAAGCTGGCTAACTGCTAGCCTCTGTGCATACACACTGACATACAATATATGTGTGCCCACACACATATGAATATACACACATATACATACAAAAAAGTGTGATAAAATTGAAAAAGAAATATCTTTGTCAAGGACTGGAGAAATGGCTCAGCAGTTAAAAGCACTGGCTGCTCTTGCAGAGAACCAGGTTTTGGTTCCCAGCACCATGAAAACTCACAACTGTCTGTAGCTCCAGTTCCAAGGGATCTGACACCCTCTTCTGGCCTCTGCAGGCACCAGGCATGCACATGGTGTACATGGCATCCATACATACATGCAGGCAAACACTCATATACATTAAAAAAAATCTGAGTCAAAAGACCTTATAAAAGGTATAATTAGGGCTGGAGAGATGGCTCAGCAGTTAAGAGCACTGACTGCTCTTGCAGAGGACCTCGGTTCAATTCCCAGCACCATATGGTGGCTACAAACCGTCCCTGACTCCAGTTCCAGGGAAATCCAAAGCCCTCTTCTGACTTCTGTGGTATTGCATGGCATGGTGGTCTCACATACATGCAGGCAATATACTCATACACATAAAACAAAATTTAAAAATAATAAAATATATTTTAAAAAATATAATTAGCTAGGCATGCTGGTACATACCTTTAATCCCAGCATTCAGGAAGCAGAGGCAGGCAGATCTCTGAGTTCAAGGCAAGCCATGAATATACAGTAAGACCCAGTCTCAAAAAAAAAAAATCTAATTAAAAGCTACAAAGTAGGAAAGTAGGAGAAGGTATCTATAAACACATGACCAAAAAGCATTTGTATTTATAATACATGAAGATTTCCAGATTTCACATGGTAGAAGGTGAGAACCTACTTCTGAATGTTGTCCTCCGATCTCCACATGTGTGCCATGACATGTGCTCCCTCTAAAATAGGTAAATGTAATAATAATGTTGATGATTAAAAGAAGAGTTCCTGTGTGGGGTGATGTTATATGAATAGAATCCCTAGCTGTGACAGGAGGATTTCACATTCCAGGCCAGGGCTGTATGGTGAGTTCAGTTTGGACTGCACAAAAAAAACAGTAGACCAAGGTTATGAACATTGGTAATTAACAAAAATATGTTGCTGGGCTTCCAGTGTCGTGGTGTGGAGGAAGTAGATGGGACCTAATGCAAGGTGATCAGGCCAGGTGATGAGGCTCCATCTTCCTGGACTGGTTTCTTGGAGTGGATTCTCTTGAGAGTGGTTTAAAAAGCAAGATCAAAGCCGAGCGTGGTGGTGCACACCTTTTGTCCCAGCACTGGAGAGGCAGAGGCAGGTGGATCCCTCAACTTTGAGTACAACCTGGACTATATACTGAAGACCAGGGCAGCCTGGGCTACATAGTAAGACTCTCTCACAAACAAACAAGCAAACAGCAAAAAGAAAGACCACCCTCAAGTACTTGGTCCTTTTTACACATGGATGTTTGCTCTTCTCTCCCTTTCTTCTTTCCACCAAGTCTGGTGTGGGGAGGGGAAGATGCAGCAAGAGACCTGCATATTGTTTATTGAAGGGTGCTCCAGGCACCAGAATCAAGGGGCAAATATGTTAACAGCCACACAAGAGACTTAAACACACCAACAATCAGGGAATGCAAATTAAATTTGCAACAGCATACCCACAATTAAATTCTCAACAGTTTCACCCTCATCAAATGAACAATTTAATTCTGACAATGGTAATAAATGTTGGTGATGTGAACTGAAGCGCCTAGAAGGGAGAGGAAGGGGTAAGGGGAGAGAGGAAGAGAGGGAAAGAAAGGAAGGTGGGGGGCTAGGGGAGAGTGCTATACTTGTGTTAAAAATTATACAAGGCCAAATACTGAAGTTTGAGATTATGGTGAGTTAAAATGTTGCAAACCAGAGCCAAATTATCTTTTAATTTTTAGTCCCTCTGAAAGCCTTCATTGCCTACCCTGTGTCTGACCTAACATTCCTGTGACTTGAGAATTCTTACCAGACCACTAAGCTTTCCACAACCCAGAACCTTAGAATGTCATCAGACAGCACCTGAAACCTACGGCAGTTTCCCTTTCTTTGCTGTAACCAGCCTGCTTGTGGCCTTGGCAAAATTTTTTTAACCTCTTTGTTCTTCAACTAATATGTCATGTAATTATTCCCACAGTGGACATGATATTTGGGGCAACTGAATCTGTGTTCCCAGGCAATGATCCATGACCACTCATATTTGGCTCTAGAATAAACTCTCTCTAATTCTCTTTGAGGTGAGAACCATGTTTTTGTGCCAACAGTGGGGGTCAGCTAGGAGTACTGAAAGGGAGCGCAGCACCTGGGTGCTGGTAAATTCAAGTGGCAAATACCTCTGTACCCAGCAACTCTAGTAGTTCCTTGGTTTGCTTTAGATGAACTGTTACTCTTGTGCTAAAAAACCACCCCTCACAAATGGAGCCTTTGTTTATAGCATAGCAAAACTGGAAACAACGCAAGTGCCAGTCATCAAGAAAGTGGAGAAGCCGGGTGTAGTGGCGCATGCCTGTAGTCCGAGCACTCAGTTGGCAGAGGCAGGCAGATTTCTGTGAGTTCAAGGCCAGCCTGGCCTACATAAAGAGTCAGGCCAGCTGGGGCTACAGGGAGACCCTGTCTCAAAATGACAAAATAAAAACAGCAACAACAACAAACTCCCATTGGCCTAGAGGAAGAGGATCAGCATGAGTAGGCAGGTCACAGGTCTGTTATAAGCAGAAAGATATTACTTGTATGGGTGTTAAATTAGAAGCTGTGCACACTGCACACACCTGTAATCACAGCACCAGGAAGGTAGATAGAGGCAAGAGGATTAGGAGTTCCAAGTTAATGTAGACTACACAAGACCCTCTTTCAAAAAAAAAAACCAAAATCAAAGAAATAGAAAACAAGAAGAGGAAGGGGGGAGAGAAAGGGAAGAGGGGATGGAGAAGAGGAGGAGGGCGGAGAGGAGGGAGAGAAGGAGGAGGGAGCAGCCCCAACAGCAGACTGTAAATATACAAAAACTTACCTCATGTAAGAATACACACAGGCATAGTGAACACTTGGGAGGGGTGGGTACAGATTTGAAACTGTGTCTTGTCCTGCAGCCCAGGCCCTGCCCCCATCGCCAATTTAGTAATACCTGTTGATTTCTTTGATTCTCTCTGATAGACCTCTTGAAGGCCCTAAACCCTCCGAACAGTGTGAGGGTATTTGATGCACACAGGCACTCCTTCCTCAGCCTCTAACAGGAGGTGCAAAGTTCTGCCTCAGCAAACACTGACTTATGCATGTGCAAGGCAAAGCTGTATTCCCAGCAGCCTGGTACCCACTTCTGCTCCCCAGTGGTCCCTAGGTGCTGGTTTTTAATCTTCAACGATCCACACGTGGGTGACTTTGCCTCTTGCGTGGAGGAAACCTTGTGACCCTTTAAGGTCAAACACATGCCCACACTCCCTATAAACCAGGCTGAAAA